CCATACTTCTGTAAGCACACTTACATCAAGAGCCACCACTTATCAAGAATTTTTTTTTTTTTTGAATTCAAGTGAACTTTTACTGTTTTCAAGAAACAAAGTGCACCAATTTCCTTATTTCATTAGTTCCACTCAAAAGTCAAACCAACCACCCCACACTTTAACTTTTACACAGTTCATAAACAATTCAAGTGCTCATGAGAGGTTACAATGGTTCAAATAGATGGTTAATTCCAACAAATGGGTAAGGCTTGTAATGTGGTTGCCAAGAAACAGGATTATAGGCTCAAAGAGGTTAACTAAGATACATAACAATTAGGTGGGTAAAATATACATATCTGGCTCAACAAAAACGCCTATATCACTTCCAAGACTGACAAAACTCAATTTCGCTTTGCAAACACACAGGGCAAGTTCTAGGCATCAAATGCAATAGCACAGAATTAACACAAAACCTTACACACACATGGCACATAACTCACTCAGGATTGGATTCATAGACACTCTAGTCAAAGCAGTTAAGCAAAGTTAAGATAATACAATTTAAGGTACTTCTCCAAGAGTCAAAAACTGAGCATAAGCGTCACAACTAAAGTACTCACTATTCTCAAGGCATAACCAAGTCAAGAGATATTGCTTCAATTCATAACACAACACAATGACTCCTACTTCCCCAAAAAAAAAACTAACTACACCCGGTTCAAATAAAACCCTTGGAAAAGAACCGTGGTTTAAAGAAAACCAAGGGGTAATTGCTACACTACCTAACAAACAAAAAATCTTTTTGGTATTTTCTTTAGACTTACTTCCCTCAAGAAAACTGTCTAGAAGATCCGTCATCAGGAAAAGTCCAATCTTTAAAAAAAAACATAGCTAAAGTAGCATGAAAAGTCACCCAGACAATCTCCTCACCCCACACTTAAAGTTGTGCATTGCCCCCAATGCACATCCATACATACAAGAGGGTAAAAGAAACTCCCTGATAGGCCAAAGGCCCAAGCCCTAGCAGTTCATGGGGTACTCAGACTTCTCCCAGCTTGGTCCTTCGTGCGGGTACCTCACACTTAGTTCCAACCATTGCATTTGTTGGTGCATCCTTCCAATACCTTTGCTTTCCATGCTCCTAGAAAATTAAAAAATTAACACTTCAAAAATAATATAATTAAAAAAAAATAAAAGAAAGCAATAAAGTTGGGTTGCCTCCCAACAAGCGCTTGATTTAACGTCGCGGCACGACGTGAATCACTTTCTGCCTCCACTTTGAACTTATGAATCGGACCCCAAGTTTTGATTCTGCTCTATGATCATGCTCCTGGGGTGGTGGAACGAATCTGGCTGGCCCAATAAAATAATGTAGTATTTTGCACTTCTTGGCCTTTAGATGAGGTGTGTAATCCCGATTTTCTGGCAAGAAGAATTCCAGAATGTAAGCACTTTGTTCCTCATTCCTCGACTCCGCAAATGGCTCGGACGACTCTATTTCCATACATCTAAACACAATGTGGAAAAATGCTTGGAGTGAGGACCAATGTCCTCAACTACATGAACATTGGGACAGTCTACATTCTCAACACTAATGACAATAGAGTCAACAAAATATGTATCCTCAATATCCTTGGTTGACTCTAGTATCTCTTCTACGACATCGACATCCTCAAAATCTAGTGTGATTGATTGTTGGTGTTCTACTCTAGCATCCTCCTCTAGCTCATCAATTTCTGTATCTAATTCACGCTCTTCTTAGATACTATTCACAATATTGGCTTGTTGAGCATTAAAAACGGCACAAACATTATGACTATGTAATCTATTATACTTTATTATATGCATCTGCTGTAGGACCTTATATGGGACATGTCCTAGTCTTCTATGCCATAGCTCTTCTTTATTGTTCACACATAGCACTGCTGCTGCTTGAACTCTGTCTCTATCCCATAGATTCTGCTACTAGACCCATGTGGTCTGTTGCCTATGTATCTACAATCCATTTATCATCCTTTGCTTTACTATCATTTGAATGATCTATACTGACCTGTGCCTTGTGTCCTTTTGTAGCATTTTCAGAATTTGATCATACTGTTCAGCAGTAAATGGCATTGGCATCTGCATGTTCATTCTTGCACCAACTGATACATTTATCCCTATTCTCTCCCTATCCCATTAAAATCCGTAAATCTCCTCGAGTCTTCGTTCGTACTTAATTATCAAATTTGACCCCCAAACATGATCCCGGATTAATTCCTTGACTCTTTAAAGCCAAATCACTTAAAGAGGCATAAACTCGAGTGTAATAATCGACTAAAATACGTAATTATAGCCTATCATCAACACCCCACACTTAAGTTGTTGCTCGTCCTCGAGCAATCAAACTACACTTTTTTTATAGACACGCCTTGTAATGTGGTTGCCAAGGAAACTGGATTACAGGCTCAAAGGGGTTAACTACGATACATAATTCAACCAGTTGACTCATGTGAACATTCAAGTTGTGAATAGTTTCCTCCTGCCTTTCTATCCGCTGTAGTAATTTACTCTGTTGTTCCAAAATGCACTTTAACATATCTTCGAGCTTCTTTAGGTCAGCTTCCCTAGGTTCTTTCTTCCTATTAACTTCACCAGAAAAAGAAGAACCATCAAAGTAAGGGGTTGGGGGAAGGTAAGAAATATAAGCACAACCGTGAAAGTGACCATGTTGACTACCACACATATCACACACATTCCACATATAAGATTGAGTTGGTGCACAAAACTCGCTCTCAGGAATATTTTGATAAATTTGCCCTGGGTGGTTTCCTTCACAATATGCATAAGGAGGATCAAAAGAAGAATTACCAACAACAAAATTCTCATAATTCCATGATGTCATGTTTCTCAAATAAACAAATAAAACTAAAATAAAAAATAATAATAAAAAATCAAATAATAAAATAAAAGTTCAAACTTGAAACCTAGCAAGCAACTACACCGTTAGTTCCCCGTCAACGGCGCCAAAATTTGATCACGCCCAACTATGCCTTATAAAAAGGACAATGCGGTCGTTGCAAATATAATCCGGTTTACAAGTCCGGAGTCGAATCCCACAGAGAACTAAGGTTTAGCTACAACTGTTGACTATCACCAAGAAGACAAGCTTGAACAATTCCTAACTTATAGATATTAAGATTCTTCTGTTTAACTAATTAACTAACAAATTAAAACAGTAAATTAACAACTAACGATACTGAGGGTTAGAGAAAAGATTAAGGAGGTCTAGAGTTATGATTTCCCCTATTGTCGGAATCCTTCCCGCTATGTCTTCTATAATTTCGCCTAAGTATTCTCTACCGATCATGAGCACTCTTATTACCGTAAATCTCTCCCGAGTAATTACGACAATTTACTAGACGCACTCTCCCGAGCTACGCTAGCTGGCTTTTAATACAGCTCACTTCAGATCGCACCCAAGGCTTCGTTATCCCTAATTCCGCCTTTAAACCCTCGGTTATTGATCCCTCATATACTTTGGGAGTGGTGTTGTTTAACAATTACCTAAATATGCACTCTCTCCCGAGTTATGCATACTAAATAGGCACAGCTAATTGAGAGCTCTTCAACCAACCACAATATAAACGTAGTTGAACAAATAGAGAAAAGCTATGGCTCAATTATATAAAAACATAACAAGAATTTATCCTACAAAAGGTTCTATCAAAACTCTAGATAACAAATTAGCTATTCATAATAGTATGTAAAACTACAATACTAAAAGTCATAACCAACAATGAAAATTAGGAAGAGGAAGGAAAAACTTGTAGAAGAATTCTCCGCCTTGCTCCTAATGTGTTCTTGCCTCCAAGGGTGTTGTCTAACCCTAAAGTAGTGTCTCTTGCCTCCTTAGGTCTAATTTTTGTCCAAAATATGTCCCCTCCTTGTTCTTGGCCGGCTCCTTTGTTTAATATAGGGTTTAGGACTTAAAATTCCATGTTTTGCACTTTAGTCCCTGAAATTTTCGCTTCCTGCCGCATCCCACCGCGGTCGCGGTCAAACCGCGGCCAAACATACTCTCTGATTCTTTAGTTGTCCGCGAGTACACTCTGCCGCGGTTCTGCCGCGGTTCCACCATAATCGCGGTATTTCACCCTCTTCCGTTTGGAATTTGGAAAAACGTAAAACATGAAAGTTGTAGCCCTTTGAGTTATCTCCAACCATATATTGTGGAGCCCAAATGGAGTTCTGAGCAAAATGTTATGTCTATTTTACTAGACAGTGCGCAATATGCCTCCTCGAGTCTTCGTTCGTACTTAATTATCAAATTTGACCCCCAAACATGATCCCGACTTAATTCCTTGAACTTTTACTCAAACTTTAAAGCTCCAAATCACTTAAATGCATTTCATAACATCTATATAGCTCGGAATCACACCTACAAGGCATAAAACACACAATTAGTGCAAAACACTAGCGATTAAAGCTCAAACTCAATTAAAGTGCAGTAAACTCGAGTGTAATAATCGACTAAAATACGTAATTATAGCCTATCATCAATCGCACTACTTGGGAACAGAAAGCCAGGGTTTGTGAATGGAACTTGTACGAAGGAATCATGTATTGCTGAGCTACAAGAGTAATGGAAAACTTGTAATGCCATTGTCCTCTCATGGCTCATGAACACACCATCCACGGAACTCCTGTGTGGAATTGCATATGCTTCAAATGCTCACCTTGTGTGGGAAGACTTGAGGGAGAGTCGACAAGGTGAATCGCATGAGAATTTTTCAGCTGCATCGAGCCATTGCCACTCTCTCACAAGTTACAGATTTTGTTTCATGCTATTTCAGAAAATTAAAGGATTTATGGATTGCGTATGATGCTATGGTACCTAAGGCCAATTCAAGGGATTTTGTTGATCATTTGGAGCAGCAGAGATTGCTGCAATTCCTTAGTGGATTAAACGACTCTTATGACCTAAAAGACAGCTTCTCATGAAATCGAATGTGCCCTATATCAATCAAGCTTATGCGATGGTGATCGAAGATGAATCTAGACAGTGTCCTGATATAGGCGCAATAATTGATAAGAATGAACCAGTAGCTATGCAGGTTGGTCGTAACCAAAGCTATAAGAGAAAAAAACCTTTTTTTTAATGTGAACACTGTGGTTACAAAGGTCATAGCAAAGAAAATTGCTATAAGCTCATTGGATACCCTGAAGACTTTTTAGGGGAAAAAAGGTTCAATCAGCCCAATACTAGACAATTTGGTCGTAGAGGTGGTGGTGCAAATGGATAATTTGGTCGAGGAAATCCACTCTTTAATGATGTTAACAGTGTTTCTAGCAATGCAGGTAGTGGAAGTAATCCAGGTGCTCGATGCCCTTCTAGTTGTGACTTGCAGGATGCTTTTGCTAGAAAGGGACCATTCTTCACAGAGGAACAATACAAGCAGATTTTAGCATTGTTGAATAAGGAACCAACTGACAATCAACACAACACGGATAATCAAAGCAATATGGCAGGTATTACAGCTTGTTTCATGTCCAAAGATACTACTAGTGAGTAGATTGTGGACTCAGGTGCCATACATCACATAGCTGCATCTATGGATTTATTAACAAATGATAACACTAGGACGGAATCTAAGGACACAGTACATTTGCCTACTGGAGATAAGATCCTTGTTTCTCATACAGGCCATGCATATTTATTTGGTATCGAGGTTATAAAAGGTGTCCTATATGTACCAGATTTCAAATTTAACCTCCCGTCAGTATCCAAAATCACAAGAGAACTGAGGTGTTCTATGAATTTTTTCCCTAACTTTGTCCTCTTCCAGGATCTTTACAGTGGCAGGTGAAGGGGATTAGTAGGGAGACAGGCGATTTGTACATTGTCAAAGGTAGCAGTAATAACAGTAATAGAGATTGCAATGTAGCAGCAACATCGCAGTGAATGAGGACTGCAGATTACGGCATCAAAGGATTGGCCATCCGTCAGCTTCTACTATGAAAAGTATGAATTGGTTAGGAAGCACTGTAAATAATGATCTTCTGAATAATTGTCTTGTGTGTCCCTTAGCTAAACAAATTAGATTATTGTTTCCTACTAGTGTTTCTAGGGCAGTATATCCTTTTTATCTTGTTCATATGGATTTATGGGGCCCTTATAAAACACCTATCTATGACAAGAAGTATTATTTTCTTACAGTTGTGGATGACTTTAGAAGGTTTACTTGGATTCATTTACCGCAACTCAAATCTAAACAATTGTTGCAATTAAAAATTTCCTCTTAATGGTAAGAAACCAGTTTGGAGTGATGGTAAAAGTGTTCAGATCTGACAATGGTACAGAGTTCTTCAACTCACAGTGCAATGATCTATTACAAAGTTTTGGAATATTACATCAAAGCATCTGTGTTCACACTCCATAACAAAATGGAGTTGTGGAGAGAAAGCACAGGCACATCTTGGATGTAGCAAGAGCACTAAGATTTCAATCAAAAATGCCAATTAGATATTGAGGAATCTGTGTAACTACTGCAGTATACCTGATGACAGGTTGCCCTCCTCAGCTATTAAAGGGAAAAGTCCTTATGAGATGCTATATGCAAAGCCTCCATCCTTAACTCACCTGAGAGTGATAGGGTGCTTGTGTTTCGCTTCAGTTGTTCCCAAAGGAGATAAGTTCGCTGCAAGAGCAAAGGCATCAGTCTTGATGGGATATTCAGAGAGATAGAAGGGTTACATCTTATTAGAACTTGCTACCTATCGAAATTTTTTGTGAGTGGGGATGTGGTATTCAAGGAGTCTGTGTTCCCTTTTGCAAAACAACAGGAGATTTCCATTAGTCACAACCCTCCTATTGACAACTTGGGTTCTGGCATATTTGATGTTGGAGTGCCATCTATAGGTGTTGCAGACAGTTCACAAGACATATGTCAAGGTTCAGATGTGGATCAAGGTTTAGCTATACTTACAACTGACAATATAGTTAAAGGCAATACAGAAAGAGACAATGAGTTGCAGGAAAGCTCACCATCAGAAAAGATCACTCCAGTCATACAGGAAGATGAACCTCATGCTCTTAATCAAGACGTGACTACTGATGCTGCACATATTCCACTGAGAAAATCCTCCAGGACCTCCATACAGCCTATTTGGCTAAGAGACTATGTTACAACACAGAAAGGAACCAGTAAATATCACATCACCAACTACATATCCTATGACAAAGTCACACCAAAGTACCAAAGCTATTTGGCCAAGTTCTCTATATTTGTTGAGCCCGGATCTTTCAAACAAGCTGCCAAAGATGCTAGATGGATTGAGGTAATGTGACAAGAAATCAAGGCTTTAGAGGATAATAAAACTTGGGAAGTTGTAGACTTACCATCAGGGAAACACACTGTAGGATCCAAATGGGTCTATAAGATCAAGTACCAAACAAATAGGGACATTGAGAGGTTCAAGGCTCAACGAGTTGCAAAAGGTTATAGCCAACAAGAGGGTCTAGATTATCATGATACTTTCTCTCCTATAGTGAAGATGGTAAAAGTAAGGTCAGTCATAGCTTGGCTGTTTCTGGAGGTTGGAATCTATACCAGATAGATGTCTATAATGCCTTTTTGCAAGGTGATCTTTATGAAGAGCTTTACATGGATATTCCTGAAAGTTTTAGGAGGTAGGGGGAGCAGAAAGTTTGCAAATTGCTTAAGTCCTTATATGGACTCAAGTGGGCATCAAGACAGTGGAACATTAAGTTGTCTGATGCACTAGCAGCAACAGGTTTCATACAAAGCAATCATGACTACTTCTTATTCACATTAAAGAAATCAGAAGGCATGGTGATCATCCTGGTGTATATGGATGATTTGCTCATCACAGGAGCAATGATCAGCTGATTGCTGAGGCAAAGGAGATACTCCATCAGCAGTTCAAGCTAAAAGACTTAGGTGAACTCAAGTACTTCTTGGGCATTGAAATCTTAAGGTCAACAACTGGGGTAGTTTTGAATCAAAGGAAGTATGTGCGAGAATTCATTTCTGAAATGAGACTAAGTGGTGCCAAGCTAGCAATCACCCCTTTGGAGACCAATATCAAGTTAACTACAATTGCATATGATCAGCCAACAGGTTCTGCAAACGATTCGCCTTTAGAAGATGTTAGTGCATATCAGAGATTACTTGGTCGTTTGATGTATGTGACTACAACAAGACATGATGTTAATGTTTCTATTCACACCTTGAGCCAGTTCATGTAGCACCCTAAGAAGTCCCACTGGGAGGCTGCTCTTAAGGTGGTTAGTTACCTGAAGAGTGCTCCTAGCCAAGGCATTTGGTTGAGGTCTGGTCCTGCATCAGAGTTACAATGTTGGTGTGATTCTGATTGGCAGCTTGCCCCAATACTAGGAGATCAATAACAGGTTATGTGGTAAAATTTGGTGACTCTCTCATTTCATGGAAGTCAATGAAGCAACAACCAGTTTCCAAAAGTTCAGCTGAAGCTGAATATCGTAGCAGGGCTTCAGCTGTAGCAGAAGTCACTTGGTTGCTTGTTCTGTTTCAAGAGCCGGGAGTTCTCATCAAGCTTCCTGTTCTTGTGCAATGTGACAGCAAATCCGCTATACAATTGGCTGCTAATCCTATTTTTCACGAATGAACAAAGCATATTGAGATCGATTATCATTTCATTCGTGGCAAGATCAAGGCAGGGGTGGTCAGGACTGTCTATGTCCATTCCAAGGATCAACAAGCTGATTTACTCACCAAAAGCCTCTCTTAAGCTTCGCATGTTCAACTTCTCAACAAGCTTGGTGTGTGAATATATTGCACCCTCCAGCTTATGGGGGAGTATTGTGAGCTCAAGTTAGTTAATGGTAATTATGGTAGTTAGTCGATTAATTCCACTGTACACTTGATGCCAGCTCACGTCCAGCTCATAAGTTAATAGATAGTTAGTTAGGCTCATTACTTGTATATAAATACCCTGTATCTTCAGAGATTGAATACAGAGAATCATTTTTGCAATGCCTGCTTCTTCTTCATTTATGTGCTCTAGAAGCTTCTGCTATTAGAGCAGTACAGAGCGACTGCAAATCTGCTCAGCGTGAGTGTGTGTGTGTATATATATATATATATATATAACCATATTTATTTTGTTTTAACTAATTGAAAGGTAAATATTATATTTTGCATTCTTTTTCTTTAAAGTGATCGATAAGCGCATTAAGAAACTAAGGAAATACCAATATAAGAATGTTCATAATTAAAGCGCATGTGTCAAAAACAGGAAAATATCTATGATGGCAAAATCAGAACTGCTCATTAAAGGTAGTAGTAAAAAAAATGAAAAGGAGCTTCCACTTTGTTTCTAAAAGGTGGATGAGTACCAAACCTTTTCACAAATAAATTCCACCTTTTTAATCAGTCTTCAAAAGGGTGATCTGTCACTAGGCAGTTAAGTTGTCCTCTTCTCATAGTGCAAGGTCTCACATTAGTCATTCTGTAAAAATGATTAACAAATTGATTGAGTATTTGCAGCTCTCCGTCTTCTCTTTATTATCATCAAAATGAAAATATGATATCTCGGGGAGTAATTATTATTTAACGTGTTGGTCAAAATCAAAATTAATTGATAGAACTGTTACCTTATATTTTACGGGAGTATGTTTTCTTTCCGAATTTTCCCCCTCCATTTTCTTTACCCTAGATCTCTTATCTCCTTTAGAAAATAAGGGACCATAAAAACCTTAGCTTATTAAAGACAATAACTCAAAATGTCGTATACATATAAGGATCAAAAGCTCTTGAAAGTTCTTGTTTTCTTATTTCTATAATAGCAACAAAAAAATTGTTTCCATTACAAAAAAGACAAGATCAAGTGCTAATTAATTATTTTTGGAAAGAGTTCAAATATCTTCAATTCAAGTGTGTCCTCATCTTCAAAAGGTATGGTCCTGAGTTCATGAAACCCTAGCTAGCATCCACCATGAAAATTGGCCATTAGTGGAGTGTATAGACAATTTTGCTTCACATAATTGGATGGTAGACTAAATGTGGGTCAAATCCAACCCCTCATTTTTGTAACTGATTTGATGGACTAATAACTAAGATTTGTATGAATGTGTCACCACCCATGTGTATTATAAAGTGAAATAGGGGGGCATTTGGGGCACCTCTCTTGTCACAAGTATTATCATTGTTCATTTCTAAAGATTTTAATTTTTAAGTACTCAAAATATATATACTTTTGTTCACTTCCTCAGTCTCAAAGATAAATTGCATTCAATGTGCTTGTCTTCAAATATCACAACTTGTTTGCTAAACGCTAAATTTGTTTTTTTACTTTCTTGGATTAAATTAAAAAGATGAATAAAGTTTCACTAAATTACAATGTTAGAAAGAACAAAGTACCGATATATGCTCCCTTTATTGTATATTTGTATGTTATAGTTTGTTACATCCATCGAGTTCAAAGTAAAATATCATAATGATGTGCATCATGTGTGGAAATCCTTTTTCTGCAAATGCAATGTTTCTAAACTATACATCTCGTTTGAATAAAAGTCACTTCCACCCGTGATACAACATGGAACCTGTCACGATCCAAATTCCGTTATAGATCGTGATGGCGCCCAACACTGTTATTAGGCAAGCCAACACTAATCAACTAGTGAGTTATCATTTCTTTTATTAAACAATTCCAACGTTTACTTAACTTAAATTTAAAACAGTCGATTAATAATGAATTTATAAAGCAACTGAAACGGGAATGACTAAAGGAAATCATAATTTTAGGAATACAACCCAAAGATAATAGTCTACTAATCTGTGTGCCAGGATCTAGTGTCAGAAGTACGAGGGCAACTAGTAGAATGTACAAAAATATAACTATCCTACTGCCTGAAATAGAATAGACAGTAATAACAAAAGGAGAGACTCTGGTATGCTGCTGAACGGCTCAGAAGGGGATAGCTCACCGTGAAATCTCGATCAGGTATCAAGAATGCGCGCCGGATGGGTAGCTAGATGCACCTGCCTCAGATCCTGTACAATTAAGTACAGAAGCATAGTATGAGTACATAAACAACATGTACCCAGTAAGTATCCAGTCTAACCTCGAAGAAGTAGTGTCTAGGGGTCGACTTGACACCTACTAGGCTCAATAATAATATGATTTAAGTGTTACGCTAAGCATGAATACCATGAATAATAATGACAGTTTAAGAACAAGGAGAAATAAGATATTCTTTCATAAACAACATGTCAATTTCGATCATATCATGTAACAACTTACATTTCAAAGCATTTAAGCGGTATAAATCACGGGAAGTTCCAAATAAATAACATGTGACCGTTGTGCCGAGGTTGTACGGCCCGGTCCGATATAATATTAAACTGTGCACTGCCAGAGCGTTGAATGGCGCGAACCATAGATGCATCTATTTACTACCAAGGCGCTCGACCCGATCCACAAATAACAATTTATTTTCAAGGAAGCACATAATCCTTAAGTAAGTGAGTATAGTCGTCTATATTTGTTTTACAAATTTCCAGTATGACTTAAGTTATCTTAGTAGCAAGTAAGGACGCAATCATTGCAAGTATAGCATGATACGGGTCCTAAACTACCCGGACAATTAGCATAATAGTAGCTACATACGGACTCTCGTCACCACGTTCGTACGTATCCCCCACAGATAGTTACATACATTTATTTAATTCACCTATGGGGTTAATTCCATCTTACAAAGTTAGAAAAGAGACTTACCTTGCCCCAAAGCTTACTTCCAAATTTAAGAATGCGCTCAAACCCTCAAATCGGAGCCGAACGATCCAAAACTATTTAAATGGGGTAAGAACCAGTCAATATATGCTCAAGAGTTCATATTCTAACTATTAAAGTAATTTTCCGACCCTAAATGCAAGGTTCCTAAAATTCATCACAGGGCCCACGTGCCCGGATTCCGGAAATTTTCATAGAAAGTTATTACCCATAACCATAGGATCAAGAATATATAATTTCTACTACATTTCATAACAAATTTCGTGGTTAAATCTCATTTTTATCAAACTCTAGGTTTTACTCTAAACCCATAATTTTCACTAATTTACATGTTGTAATCTACCCATTAGCTATGTATTAAACTCACATGAAGTAGAAATTACTTACCTCACACAGCTAGGTTAAAATCTCCCCTTTTGAAGCTCCCAAATCGCCCAAGAATGGAGTGAAATGGGTCAAAATTGACAAACACCCGTATTAAATGAAGGCCACTGCCTTCAGCGATTTCCGCACCTGCGGTGCGTCGAGCGCATCTGCGGTCTCGCTTCTACGGACGTTTGTCCGCTTCTGCGGAAATGGGCCGGGTCAGCTAGAGCCGCACCTGCGGTCAGGTGACCGCTCCTGCGGTTCTGCTTCTGCGGAAGAGGAGCTGCATCTGCGGAACCTGGGCTCCTCTCTTTGGGCCGCATCTGCGATGCTTCAGCCGCATCTGCGGGCTCGCTCCTGCGGCTGGCCAACTGCAGGTGCGGTTATGACAGCAACTGGAGCTTCAGCTCCTTCTCAAATTTTCAACTTAGCTTGAGCCTTGTTCGATTGACGCTCGGGGCCGCCGGGGCCCCGCCCGAACATACTGACAAGTTTGGAATCATGAAACGGACTCGCTCGAACCCTCGGAACGCTCGAAACAACATTAAAACTAAGAATCACACCCTAAAACCAATTGAATCAAACTTATGAACTTCAAGTTCTTCAATGTACTTCCAATGTGCCGAAACGTACTTATAGTCTTATACTACTCGGAATGATACCAAATTTTGCGTGCAAGTCTTAAATGACATTATGGAACTATTCCCAGTCTCGAAATTCCGTTCGGACCTTGATATCATAAAAACCCGCTCCAAATCAAATTTAAAGAACTTCAAAATCCTTATAGAATCAACTTCCACTATTAGGCGCCAAAACGCTCCCGGGTCATCCAAAACTCAATCCGGACATATGTCCAAGTCCGAAATCATCATACGAACCTGTTGGAATCTTCAAATCCCGATTCTGAGGTCGTTTACTCAAAATATTGGCTGAAGTCAAACTTGACCTGTAAGCCAACCTTAAGGAACCAAGTGTTCTAATTTCAACCCAAACTCTTCCAAATGCCGAACCAACCATTCCCGCAAGTCATAAATCAGTAAAAGCAAGTACGAAAAGTCTTATTTAGGGGAACGGGATTCTAGAAAGCAAAACGACCAGTCGGGTCGTTACAGAACCTAAGTTAGTCCTAGTCCCCTAGGCTTTGAAATAAGTTTGAGAGAAGAAAAGGGACAATAAAAGTTGGAAAAATGACACTGTATAGCCGCTATAAAAATAGTAGCCGAAAAATGTATAAAATTTGTATATTTTTGTATATATATACATTATGTATGTTCTATACAAAAATTATATAAATTTTATACACTTTTTAGGCTACCAGATGTAAATAGTTTCTGGCACGGGCTAAAAGTGATAATACCCATAAAAGTTTCAGTTTGGACTCTTAGAGCCCGTTTAGACATAAGAAAATATTCCCTTTTGTAACGACCCGATCGTTCGTTCTGAGAGTTATAGCCACATTTCCCCCATCTATGCTTATTTATATGTTATTCAGCTGTGTTGAGTTGTAT